ATATGTGACCGTGGAGCACAAAACCAGTCATAAGGGTCAGTTTTGAGCAGAATAAATAAGCTTTCCATTGATGTATGGTTTGTTAGGATCTGACAATATTTGGCCGAGATACAACTATTTGAAAATCTGGAATCTGAGGGTGCAAAAAAATCTAAATATTGAGAAAATCATCTTTAAAGTTGTTCAAATGAAGTTCTTAGCAATGCATATTACTAATCAAAAATTAAGTTTTGATATATTTACGGTAGGACATTTACAAAATATCTTCATGGAACATGATCTTTACTTAATATCCTAATGATTTTTAGCATAAAAGAAAAATGTATAATTTTGACCCATACAATGTATTGTTGGCTATTGCTACAAATATACCCCAGCGACTTAAGACTGCTTTTGTGCTCCAGGGACACATATGTGATATATTTAACTTCAGAATCAAAAGGAAAAAGTAAAAAAGTTCACTTGTTTTTGTAAAATTAGATTTTTAAAAAATTATTTATTTTTTAATGCTGCGTTTAAATTGCAAAGTGTTCATGCATCATTTTAGTATTTGTTGCACTGATTTTATGTCTTATACAGTAAAAGTATGTTTAGACGCATTGAGAATTTGGCGGGAAAAGTGTGCTTAATTCTCATGAAATGAATGTTGCAATGTAGAAAATCTGAATGCTGCTAATAGTCTTCATTTCTCGTTTTGTAAAATGTCATTTCTTATTTTTTACCCTTACCCTTTTTAGGCATGCACATTTTGAGCTGTATGTAAGCAGAACAAATAACCAATTATTAGATCAAATAAGAAATTGATTTTTTTTTGTAAAATTATAAAATTTCATAATATAAAAAAATCGAAAATTATAAAAAAAAAAAAAAATCTGTTTGTAAGTAACCAGAAAAAAAACGAAGAAAAAAAAAATTTAATTCCATAAATTATATGCATGTTATATTATACGTGTGTATAATAATATGTATCACAATTTATGAATAATGAATTTAAAAAAGTAAAAATCTTAGCAGCCCCAATTTAGGCTTCATTTCCTTTATATAAAATATACTATTTTTACATTTTCTTTTGTTTTTCTGTGGAAATATGACTCTTTTTTTTTTTTTTGATTTATTCTTGTATATTTGATGTGTTTGTATGTAACCTAAACTCTTTTCTCTGTCTGTCCTCTCAGGTGATGATAACGGTGAGTTAATATTTGCACATGATACATGATGCTTCTGCAATGAAACTGGTCTCAGATCAGTGCAGAAGGGCTTTTATTAAAGCAGACTTTGTCTGTTTCTCACAGGTGAAGGGTTTTACAAATGGATGGAAGGTGAGTGATTATTTACAGTGTAAATATGATGAAAACACAGATGCATTAATTTGCATATTAATAGTTGTACAAATGACTTGCACAAATTCGTTCTGCTCGTGTTTCATGAATGAGGCCTGACACACTTCCTCCTGAAACTGAGAGATGTCCTCATTATTTGTTTTAAGTATTTTTGTGCTCTGCATTGAAAATGCTCAAGAGTTGGGGATAATGCGAGTTATTTTGATATGTTGATTTGCTAATATAATTACCCAGTCTGAGGTTAGACTGTGTTTGTTCAACACTGATAGTGGAGACAAGAAATTCCTACATTAGAAACTAATATCTATTTATTTGTTTTTATATGGATACATTCAACATAAATGTCTACATATATGTTAAATTTAAATGATCTATTGTGAAGGAAAAAAATTTAATTAAATATTTATAATAATAAGTCAAAGTAAATTATTTACTTCAAGTTTAAATGTAGTTTAAACGTATAGTCATAGTACTTTTAATTTATTATTATTGTTACAATACAAAATTAAACTACAAAATTCTGCATTTTGGCAGAAAAAGTTTTTTTTATATCCTGTTTGTTGCCATTCTTATTTATTAAATATGCATATGACTTTTTCTAATGTATAATTATTATACACAGTTTTATGAGCTCATATTTCCCCCCAAAATAAATATTATTAAAAAAATTAAATACATTTTTTATTTAAATACATTTGAAACATAAAAAAGTATGCCTTATAGTTATAGTATTTTATTTATTGTTATTATTATTATTTTTATTTATAAATAATAATATAATAATTCTGTGTATATTATTAATTTTAATGCTAAGGGTTAATGTGGGGGATTGTTTTGCATATGATTTTAACCTAAACATTTTTAAACATTTTTTCTAATGTATAATTATTATACACAGTTTTATGAGCTCATATTAAATAATAAAACTGTAAGAAAAAAAATTATATATATATTTTTTTAAAATGCATTTAAAAACTACATTATACCTTACAGTTTATAGTTAAAAAATACTTTTTTATAATGATTTTTATATATATATATATTTGTTTTCATTATTTAAAAGAACTAGTTTGTATTGTGTGAAGCTCATTGTTAATGCTTTAGAAAAGTGTGTTGGTTTACTGTGTGTTGATGCGCTGCAGGTTTGTGTTTGGAGAAGCGTGTTTTCTATCGTCTGATCTCTGGCCTCCACAGCAGCATCAACATCCACCTGTGCGCTGAATACCTGCTGGACGGTAAACACACAGATGCAAACTCCTCAGATTTCAATGACACCTCACTCTTTTGAGATCAAAACAGGCCACCTGTGAGGTTTGCTTAGATCCAATGAGAAAGTGTTTTACAAGGGTACTTGTGATCTTACAAGGGTTTTGCATAGTGTTTTCTTTACTCTTTACTTCAAAAGCTGTCTGAAAGGGTAATATTTGATGTATTTGAGGTCTGAGATGTGTGAACGGTGAAGAAGAGAAAGAGAGAGAGGGCAAACATTTAGCATTTTAGCTCAGCATTGCCGTCTAATCAGCCAATATTGTCTTAAATAACCTGCATAGCACTTCATCTTTTATAACATGGGATTTTGACCAAATATATTAAATCTTGATTTTTGTAAAATGTTGCAACAAGATGTTAAAAAATGTTGTTTTTTTTTGAAAAATTAGTTTTGGATATATAAGGTAATAAAAAATATTTTTAAAAATACCTTAAAGTAACTACAAATGAGCATGTCATTGCATTTACATTTAGTCATTTAGCAGATGCTTTTATCTAGCAATCAAAACCAGCAAAAGAGCAATAATATGTAAGTGCTATGACAACTATAAAGCAGCACACAAAGCAAGTTATTATTATTTTTATATAATATATTATATATATATATATATATATATGAAGAGTTCATTTGCAAAAACCGATAAACGC